TGCTGATCGTTGCACTCGCGCTTTGGAGTTTCAGGTTAGGGATCAGGTTCTACTCAAAGTGTCTCCTATGAAAGGAGTCATGCGCTTTGGGAAGAAAGGGAAGTTGTCACCGCAATTTGTCGGTCTGTTCATGATTACGGATTGAGTTGGAGCTGTTGCTTATTGGTTGGCACACGCGTGCATAATGTGTTCCATATTTCCATGTTGCGGAAATTTCTGCGAGATGAGGATCAGTATCAGCATATCGATGTTGGGGAGATTGAGTTGCAGCCGGATGCAACTTATTTGGAGCCACCGTGTCGTATTGTCGACCGGCGGGATCAAATTCTTCGTAACAAAGTTATTCCTTTAGTTCGTGTCCAGTGGAGTCATTACAATAAGGCTGAGTCTACTTGGGAACGGGAGGACGTAATTCGCTCGCATTTTCCTGAAATTTTGGAAGAAGTTAAGAGCGAATTCCGAGGACAAAATTCCTTTTGTTAGGGGGGAAGAATGTAATACCCCTAATTTCAAAAAGATAGCAACGGTATTTACTTTATTGTTTAAATTGCATTTTTAATTACTGAAGTGTTTATGTGTTAATTTAATTGATTTAATTGTTATTTTAATTGACTTTTGTTTTGCTTAATTGATTATTTGATTAATTATTTTCTTAGTTGCTTTAATTATGGATTTAATTGTATTCATTAATTGATTGTTTTAATTATTAGTTTAATTATATTAGGTACAAACTTGTTTAAGTGAATTTAGTTATATTAAATTTAATTGGTGTCTAATTTAAATTAATTTCTATCTTAACATAACTGTAGGGAAGGTTGCACACAGATAGTTATACATTAGGGTTATAGTTCGCAGCCGACATTGAATTTCACCTAGTTTTCTCTATGGGCCGAGTAAATCCAATTAGGGATTAAGAGAGCCTAGGATTAGTGTGGCCTATAAATATTCACCTAAGTTGTCTACCTAGGGTTTTAGAATAAACTTACGACATTGTAAGGTTGAGAGAAGTTTTGGAGACGGTTGGGAAAGAACAGAGAGCAAACAGAGGATTCGCCAGAAATTTGAGACGAACGTCGGTGTAAGGCAAGTTCTATCCTTACTCTCTCCCTTAGGCTTCATGTTCTTTGCATTCCTAAATAATTCTAGGATTGATTTAATCAATAAAAACGTTATCTGTTTATGCTAAAATTTGTACTATCACATATGTGTGCTTGCTTGCAAAACCTATTAAAACGTGTTATTTGCTTATTTAATTCTCTGTTTAAACCTATGCATAGAATGTATTAAAGACTTAAACATAGACTGGGAAGCTACTGGGATGGATTTACAACTTCTGGAAACTATAGCGTAGGGAAGAGAGGTTGCAGAAGGCGTCTGAAGAAGAGGGAAGATGAAGAGACGGGGCAAAAAGGGAGAGAGCCGGCTCTCCCTTGGAAAGAGCCGGCTCCCTTTGATATGGAGGCAGCTCCCAATGTGGGAGCCGCCTCCAAGGCCTAAAGGAGGCGGCTCCACTTTTGGGAGATGTCTCATTGCTGAGTTTTTAATTTTTTCTTCGTTTCCGGTCAGTTTTGGTTGCAGTGGTTGTTTCAGTTGAGTTTAGTGCTATATGTGAGGTGTATGGATGATGCTTAGAGACAATTCTAAGACTTTAGGAGGCATGTTAATAATCTAATTATGGTTGTCACTTGAACAGTATACGTTGTAAACAAAATAACACACTGTGGTTGGAGTCGGAAGAATTAATTTGGTTTAATTCTCTGTGATTCGTAATTTTCTAAGACAAATAATATAATTAAAACATGTTTTATCATATATCATGGTCATGTGTCTGAATTATATTTGTTTTGGATGAATTGGTGTTAAGTGACTTTAGGATTTAAACAAACTTAGCACTATATTGGATTTTGTGAAAACACTACAGATCAAGCATGTCTATGTGTATACTTTAATTCTGTGTTGATGTTTTCATTATCACTGCTAGTATCAATTATTGGAGGCATGGATTTTGTTGATGTTTACCTTAACTGTCTATAATATCAACTGCTGGAGGTTGAATGCTATTAAGATTTAAACTTGGCACGATACCGGATTTTATGGAACAACCTAAACTGAGTAGGTTTATGTATATACTGTGACTATGTTAATTGATGCTTACACTATAATTGTTAGTATCAGTGATGGATATAAAGTTGAACATATTTATGTATAAGGCTGACTGTGTTTATTGATGCTTATAATATGACTGTTAATATCATAAATGGAGATATTGATTTAGTTGATATTTATTGTAGTCGTCTGTATTATCAACTGCTGGATGATTGGATAGTATACACTGGAATGGGACGGTGGTATACTACAGACGGTTTGGTTTCAAAATACCAAAACCTACCTATTCTGGATTAAGAATTGGATTAACTAAAAGTTAAGTCCTATTGATTGTAGTGTCATAGCAACGACTAGTTGAGTGGCACTACTAGGATACAGGATGGATTTTAAATATATTGTTATGGTACCTCGATATGAGCTTGAGTCTCAGGATCGACGGTTAAGGAGCGTATATGCATTGGGATGCATAGCTGGTTACTATAGTTGGAGGTGTACCCTATTTTGGTTTAGGTACACATGCCCACTTCGTGTGTGTTTTAGCATGTTACCTCTATTCAGGTTGAGACCGGCCTGTAGTCCAGTGAGAGTCCTTTAGTGTGACTATATATATATTTTACGGACTATTAGCTATTGTTGAATTGTTTAAGGTGTACATGCGTATCGGACCTCTGTTTGGATTGTAGTAGTATAGAACTTGCGCGTGGGCCTGACTTCTATTTTTCAGGTACACGACAGTTCCAGACTTAAACGTGTTCGTACTGAGCAGAGGTTTCTACTCACTCTAGCAACGATGTAGGATTTCTCTCCATAGCTTATATCAGGATGTTCTTTCAGTTCTTTTAATTCAGTTTGGATTTTTATTAGGGGTCCACTAGAGATGGATTCCCGAGTTGTTTAATCTATTGGAGGTTTTGGATTATTGGGATTTAAGTATTTATCTTTAAAGGATTTATTTTAGTTTCTTTCAGCTTTTAATATTTATTCTTATTTTATTTTGTTGTTTGTCTTCATTAAAGTATTAATTATTTGATATTCTCTCGGGTTCAGGCCTGGGCCTGATCAACCCGTGTTTCGGATCCGAGGGGTATCACAATCCACTTCCCAACCACAACTACAACTAGCACCACAACTGCCATTTCCCAAGCCTCTGCTGAGACACTTTAGATCTTGTTATGCATTCCCACCCATGCTTATGGAGTGGGTTTGTGACTTTGAGACTCTGATATCCACATTGGCCAAACTATTTGGACAATTTGGATGTATTTTTTTGGGTTTGGGCTTGTTGCCTTTCTTTTGTTATTTGTTTTGCTTTGGGCTTATGGCCTATGCACAGTTGTAATGTTCTCTCCATCAATTCATACTTAAAAAAAAAAAAAAAAAAAAGTTAATTACAACAACGCCCCATGAGGTTTGACATATTGACAGTCATATACAACTTAGCTGTTTTTTGGACAAAGACACCCCTTGTGAGAATTTTGATCCAAACAAGCCTTTAAAATGTTAGAAAAGACGAAATTACCCTTTAATGTTTAATTCATTTTTATGTTAAAATATCAAAACTTATGAAAAGTCAAATCTACCCTTATATATATACACTATTACATCAGCACCATCATATATATATATAACCAAGTCCAACAAAAAAACATTGCAGCACCGTCGCCACCTACCTGCCATCTTACACCACCGTAACTTCCACGCTCTCTCCACTGTAACGCCCACCACCTTTCTCCACTTCCACAATCTCACTGTCACCGCCCCATCAACATCCGCAGCCGCCATCGCCGCCTCTCCCCAACCACATCCGCCTCCGCCGCCTCCCCAACCACAGCCGTAGTCGCCATCTCTCCTCAACCACAATCGCCGCCATCATCTCCCTCCTTATACCGCCACCACTTCTCCTCAACCACAGCCGAGCTCCACCTCCCTCACCGGATCTGTCTCACCGGTCCACAGCCACCGGCCGAGCTCGCCGTCACTTTCATCGCCGGTTGCAGATCATCCATAGCCGAGTTCTCCTTGCCCATCGATGGACATCATCAAAACCGAGAGTCCCTGCCGATGGACATCATCAAAGCTGAGAGTCCATCCTCGCTCACTGCCACAGTTAGCCAGCCCGTCTCCACCGGCTCCATCAAGCCGTCACAGCCAGTCCGTCACCGCCTTGCCCGTAGTTCATCCACAGCCGAGCTCTCCACCTTGCTCGTAAGCACACCGCCGAGTCTCCACAACCAATGGATGCTTCGACGAAGGCCCGACGCAACCTCCACTCTCTTTACCACTATCGCCCCTATTCGTTCTTTCAAGAAATAATTATTTATTTATTATTTTATGTTTTTTTACCCACAAAATTGAAGAAACACCTTGGATAGGCACAAAGAAAACATTGATTATTACTTATAAAAGAAAAAATTAATAATATGCACTAATTCTCACTAAACCCATTTGTAATTTCTCTATTTCGTTTTTTGGTGAAGGTGGCAGTGGTGAGTGGGTAGAGGTGGCAATGGTAGAAGTAGTGATGGTGATTTTTAGGGACAAAATTTATGGGTTTTTAGTGAGAGAGGATAGAAAGATAAAACTAGGATTGATAAGGGTAATTCTACCATTTGAAGATTTGGATATTTTAAATCAAAAATTAGTATTTTATTAAAGGGCGATTTAATTTTTTCTCACCTTTTAAGGGTTTATTTGGATCAAAAATTATGATAGAGGGTGTCTTTGTTAACTTTATCAAACTTAAAGGTGTCATCATTTAACAATGATCTAACTTATATATAGCTGTCATTATAACAAATCTCAATGGGTGTCATTATAATTAACCCTAAAAAAATATATATATAAATAAAAGAAATATTTTTTTGTCATAAAAAATAAAAATAAAAAAGAGCGACACCTTGAGGTAGTAGTGGTATCAATCTTCTCAAACAAACACGCTCCTATTTTTTTTCCTTCCTCCATCGCCAATACAAATTCAACCTCTACACATTCGCTCACTGAAAAATCCAAGAAAAGATGAATCCGATGAATCAAAACCCTCCACAGACCTCTCCATTCCCTCCTGACAATCAAAACCCTCTCCAATTCACCATCTTCGTACGCCAACCTAACCCTGATCACAGTTGTAACCCTAATTCAATCCCAAACCCTAACCCGAACACTGATTCAATCTTAAACCCTGTAACTAATCCAATGTTGAACATTAATTCCATTAGAAACCCTAATTCTGGTGATCTTCTATCGTTATCCGTCCCAAGAAAACGAAGACGAGGCAGACCAAGAACTGCGACGTTGCAGCTTCAGCACCAGGTATATAGTTTGCATCCCTTTCCAAACAGTTCAATCAATGGCAACTATGGACACGGATCATCATCATTACCTTCTTCTTCAGCTCCAATTATCAAACCTGTTGTGGAAATTTCTAATTTTGTAAACCCTAACTATGCGAACCCTAGTTCCTTAACTCAAAATGTGCCTGATGTATCTGATGAGATTATTGTGATTAACAAAGAATCCACAGCCGAGGCTTTGATCGCTCTCTCGGCTGGGTTTCCAGCTGATTCTCTCACTGATGAGGAAATAGATGCTGGGATTGTTTCTGTAGTTGGTGGGATTGAACAGGTCAATTATATTCTTATTAGGAACCACATTATTACGAGATGGCGTGAGAATGTGTTGAATTGGGTTACCAAAGAGATGTTTGTTGATGTTGTACCTTCTCATTGTAGTACCCTTTTGGATTCTACTTATAGTTATTTGGTTTCACATGGGTACATTAATTTTGGGGTTGCACCGGCAATCAAAGAGAAGATTCCGGCAGAACCTAGCAAGTCAAATGTGGTTATCATCGGGGCAGGGCTTGCAGGTTTGGCTGCTGCACGGCAGTTAATGGCATTTGGGTTTAAAGTGACTGTTTTGGAGGGTAGGAAGCGTGCAGGTGGGCGGGTGTATACAAAGAAAATGGAGGGAGCGAGTCGTACTGCAGCTGCAGATTTAGGAGGGAGCGTCTTGACTGGTACGCATGGGAATCCACTTGGGATTTTGGCCCGGCAGTTATCATATTCTCTTCATAAGGTGAGAGATAAGTGCCCACTTTATCGTGTAAATGGAAAACCTGTTGACCCAGATATTGATTCAAAGGTGGAAACTGCTTTTAACCGGCTTTTGGACAAGGCAAGCAAGCTAAGGCAGTTAATGGGGGAGGTTTCACAGGATGTTTCTCTTGGGGCAGCACTGGAGACTTTTTGGCAGGTTTATGGGGATGCTGTAAATGCAGAGGAAATGAACTTGTTCAATTGGCATCTTGCAAATTTGGAATATGCGAATGCGGGTTTAGTTTCCAAGCTCTCGCTTGCATTCTGGGACCAAGATGACCCTTATGATATGGGAGGGGATCATTGCTTCCTGCCTGGAGGGAATGGGAGGCTGGTTCAGGCTTTGGCTGAGAACGTGCCAATCCTTTATGAGAAAACTGTTCACACCATACGTTACGGTAGTGATGGAGTGCAGGTTGTTTCTGGGAGCCAGGTCTTTGAGGGAGATATGGTGCTTTGCACTGTTCCCCTAGGGGTTTTGAAGAGTGGTTCTATTAAATTTATCCCAGAGTTACCCCAAAGGAAGCTTGATGGGATAAAGAGATTGGGATTCGGGTTGTTAAATAAGGTTGCAATGCTTTTTCCTCACGTGTTTTGGGGCACTGATATCGATACGTTTGGTCATCTATCTGATGATCCGAGCCGTCGAGGGGAGTTCTTTCTGTTTTATAGCTATGCAACTGTAGCTGGTGGGCCTCTCTTGCTTGCTTTAGTAGCAGGCGAAGCTGCTCATAAGTTCGAAAGCATGCCCCCCACTGATGCCGTGACCCGGGTTATTGAGATTCTTAAGGGTAGATATACTTCTATCAGCTTATGTATTGTGTATTTGTATGTCTTTACATGCACACACACCTTATTTCTGCATATTCAAAGTTTAGAATTAAACCATCTGAATTTTTTAAAAGATATATTAGCAAATTATAGCAAATTACTTTATTAAATGCCTGTAACCGTTTATGCACAGTGCCTGTAACCATATATCTTGTGCATATGCCAAATATTGTTAGTATTCCCATATTATTGTAATTTTTCAAATTGCTTTATAGAATTGCCTACATAAATATTCTTTGTAGTGACTTGAGTTTCTGATTTAGTTTCACCCCTCTTACAAGTCTTACAATTGAGTGTTTTTTTTTTTTTTTTTCTCTCTTCCTCAATGAAGCCTTATTATGAATATGCCTTGGGGAAGATAATTCTGTAGTTTTGGAGTATCTGCTACTATCTTTTTTCACTAAGCAATTATTATAACTGAGACTCTGATTTCAATGTGTGCAGGTATATATGAACCACAAGGAATAGATGTCCCTGAGCCTATCCAAACTGTTTGTACCAGATGGGGTAGTGATCCCTTCAGCTTAGGTTCTTACTCTAATGTTGCAGTGGGTGCATCTGGAGATGACTACGATATATTAGCAGAAAATGTGGGAGATGGAAGACTTTTCTTTGCAGGGGAGGCAACTACCAGACGCTATCCTGCAACTATGCATGGAGCTTTTTTAAGTGGGCTGAGAGAAGCTGCAAATATGGCTTATTATACTAGTGCTAGAGCCATGAGGATAAAAGTTGAGAGGAACTTGTCAAAGAATGCACATTCTTGTGCATCCCTTCTGGCAGATTTATTCAGGGAGCCTGATTTGGAATTTGGTAGCTTTTCTGTCATTTTTGCTAAGAAAATTTCTGATCCCAAGTCAACAGCAATTTTAAGGGTAACATTTAGTGGGCCGCGAAAGAAGAGTCATGAAGGTTCAAGGCCAGATCAACAGCATTCTAATAAATTACTTTTTCAGCAGCTTCATTCACATTTTAATCATCAGCAAGAGCTTCATGTTTACACTTTGCTATCAAGGCAACAGGCATTTGATCTGAGAGAGGTTAGAGGGGGTGATGAGATGAGGTTGAATTACCTTTGTGAAAAGCTTGGAGTGAAGCTGGTTGGGAGGAAAGGTCTGGGGTCTACTGCCGATTCTGTTATTGCTTCCATTAAGGCTGAGAGGGGCAATCGCAAACCTGCTTCAACTTCTTTGACTCTTAAATCTGGTGGGTGCTTTGAGCCTAACTGAAGCAGTTTAATATCTGGTTCTTGTTCCAAATTAAAACTTGAAATTAACATTTACAATTTTTTTTCTTTTTCTTTTTTGTCTGTAAAGGAGCATCCAAGCCAAAATCATCGACTTTGAAGCGAAAGATGGTTAGGTATGAGCTGAAAATCTCATTTTATTTCATTTGTATTTATCTATCTCAATTCTCAAATCTCTCTATTGCTTTCAGAATGGCAAAAGTAATGGGGAGTAGCAATGGCTCTGCCCTTCCTCTGAATCTAGATGCTGGAGCTAAAGCAGTGGGCAGTAGTATTCCTTCTATCCTTCCTCTGAATTCGAACGTGGGGGCTAAAATTGTGGGCAACAGCAATGGCTCTACCCCTCTCCTCAATAATAATGCAGGGGCTAAACTACTTGTCAGTAGCAATACCTCTAATTCTCCTGCAAATATACAAGTGGATAGTTCACAAGGTTCAGCACTTCATCCCATTTTAAATGTGGTTAATGATAAATCGACTGGGGAAAATGTAGGACCACAATCAAGCACATCTTAGCTCTTTTTTGTCAGGTAATGCTGATCAATTTATATTCAATGCATTGGGAAGTCTGTTTGAAGCTCTCTCTCTCTCTCTCTATATTCTTTTTTTTGAGGTTTTGATATCTCACAATTTAACTAAATCTCTCTCTTTGTGCTTATGGATGGGAGAATTTTTTTTCCCCCTCTTCTTGGTAGTAGTGCTATGAGAAGAAATATAATTATAATTGCTTCTTGACATGTTCAAACATGAATTTTCTATTTTAAAATTCACTAATATTGCCAACTAATTTTGTAGTTTTTTTTTGGTAGAATACTGTGACATGATGAAGTAATTGGCATATAGCATCTGTTTGAGGGGTGATATTCTGCCAGCATAATAATGTCTTTGATTTTCGTGTCAGCTGCAGATGATACTGGTGATGAAGGGCTTAGTTTTTGCATAGTTATGGTTAAGCAGCTGAAGGCGAACTTTCTGTTGATCACTAGATGAAATGAACTAGAAAGCAGATAAAAAAAAAATGGGTTTATGGAAACGTACCAAGATGTATGGGATCTATGAGGTTAGTAGCAAACTTTATTTGCAGTAATGTTGATTTTTTCACCTCCAATTCAATATTTATTGTCAATTGCACTCTTAGGTATCTTGCCATTGAGTTTTTCTTGTTTCTTTTGCTTTAAGTGAGTTTCTTGATCTGATTTCCTGGAATGTAGCAGCTAGCTTTCAGCTTGCATGGCAAGTCTCAAATGGGGAGATGCTCATTGAACCAAACTCTCCCCTCGCATAACGTCTCTTTGCTTTCAGCTTGGAGATTGGGGAGAAGGGTGGTCTACAAATCACTATTTTTGAATTCAAGATTGTGTTCTTCAACCTGTTACTTATTCTCTGTGGGCCCAATTGGTTAAAACTCATCTTCTAAAAGGCAAAGTTTCTGGAGTTTGAAGATCCCTAGTAATTGTTCGTGGTCCTGCAAAAAGCTTTAAAAGCCTAGAGAGTTGTTTAGAATGGATTTCAAATACAGAATTGGAGATTGGAAGAGTGTCTCTCTAAGGCAAACCTCTTGGATCCCTCAAGGTCCAATCATTCCTAGATACCCTGAGAGCATAAATCAAGATGTTGGGCTGAGCATATAAGCTACTGTTGCTGATATTATATTTCATAATCAATGCATTGGCCTGAGCATATTTCTTCTGATCTTTTAGAATTGCAAGGCAGCACAATAACCATGATCAGTTAATCTGGATTCATCGTTAAGTCAGCATGGGAAAAAGTGAGGCCAAGAATGTACAAAGCCAGTTGGAGTGATTTGGTCTGGTTCAGTATGAATATTCATAAACATGCTTTCGTTTTATGGTTGGCTATTCGAAATAAACTCGTGACTCAACAAAGAATGCTATTATCTATGGGAATCATTCATAATGTAAGCCGTGTGTTCTACACAGAGACGAATCAGAGGACGGGGAATCGTGTTTTTTTCAAATGTCCTACAGAGTTTGTAATGCTATATATGGAAATGGTAACCGGAATGCCTTCATTGAATGGAGCTCTTTGATTCTTAAGAGACAATTCTCTGATCTCCAACATGAACAAGCTGCTTTTGGCTGCTACCATTTTTTTATTTTTTTGTGGGGGTGAAGGGAATAGAAGATGGTGTAAAAATGAATATAGAGATGTGATCTTTGTAATCCAAGAATATGTGAAATTGTGAGCTTAAAGCTCTCTCTTTCAGAAATTCGGAAACCACTATTTCCAAATTTTGTTGTTTCTCCTTTAAAGCAAGGGGTGTGGGCATACAAGCTTATCTATTTACTTTTTAAAAAGTAGAGTGTCACATAAACTAAAAAGTGATGATGTGGTATTTTTTTTTTTTTATACATATGTTCCATGGTGTGGAACCCAATTATTTCATTCTCTATTTATTATTTTATTAATTTAAGAGCCGTTTGTCTGTGTTTTACTTTGTATCTGTGTTTTACTTTGTATCAATTAATTGATACAAGACAGCAGCCAATTAAACAAAGAAAAAAAATTATAACGTATTCTTCAAAGCCCACTCTGTCCGTAGAGAACTCAATAGATAGTGATTGTAGAGCCAACAAAAAAGACACTCTACTTGTTAAGCTCATTCCGTATGTAGAGAACCCAATAGATAGTGATTGTAGGACCCACAAAAAAGACACTCCACTTATTTCTGCATACCGCCCCTCTACACTAACACACTCTCCCTCTCTAAAACTACTTGCGCCCCGGTTGCTCTTAAGGGTTTCTGCTTATATATATTTTAGTCAGAGCTCCTACTTTTGTCTATTCATTGTTTTGCCTTTTTACTAATCAAAAATAAAATAAAAATAAAAATAAAATTATTGTTTTTCCTTCTTTGTGTTTTTATTTTCGTTCTCTGTTTTTATTTTAGCAAGCCGAGTGAACAATGTTGCAAAGTGCAATTCTCTTATTTATTTGGTTTAACCTACTTATCAATTACTTTTTTATATGGAGAACCAGACTGAAAATATTTCAAGTTCTCAATACAAAGAAGAGTTTCATTCACTAAATTTTTACTTTTACAATAAAGGACTTCTAAGTTTGTAGAGTACTTAACCAATCTGACTTATTGGAAAATTTTACTAGTATTCAATATAAAAGAGAATGGGGATACATTATAGAGTAGTGTTAGAGAAATCGAAACTTTCTATTGAAAAAAATACCGAACTTGTCACGTCAGACTCCTTAAGTGAAAAATAATTCCTTATCGTCTATTTTACTCTCTCTCCCCACTTTCCCTTTCTCTCTCTATTCCTTTGTTTCTCTCTGTTCTCTCAATCTAGATCATCTGATTATTCGTCTGCTTCATCAATTCTTCTCACCTTTCCCCTCTCTCTCTCTCTCTCTCTCAAAATCTTGTGGCCATGCACAAGAGTTTCTATTACAAGTCTACATATACTTGAAAAGAAAACTAATTTGTTTATTTGCCCAAAAAAAAAAAAACCACTAACCGAGAAAAGAGAAAAGGATGAATCTTCTTAAAGTGTTCTTTTGATTTGTATCGATACAAAATCCAAAGGAAAGAAACAACAGTTGCAGCCAAATTTGTTTCTCTTTTGTTCATTTTTTTTTAGTTTTTGTGCATGTTGTTTTGGAAGAAAATTTAATGATTTTATTTTTTTACCTTCGATTTTGAGAAATCAAAACGTAATAGAACAGAGAAGGGAAGAGCCGAGAAAAGAGGAGAGAGAAACGAAGAGTAATAGAGGAGAAAGAAGCGAAGAGATAGCAGCATCATATTAGAAAATAACCTGACATGGATAAGCCACGTTAGATTCAACTTATAATTCGAATGTTTGGTTCAATTCTCATATCATTTTCCTACATTATAACATATAATTTTGAATTTGTTTTGTATAATTATGTTTTCCCTCTTCAATTTGTATGAAAATCTTGCTTAATATAAAAATTCATCCAGGACAGCTATAAATGGAAATACGTAATTGCTTCTGAAGTGAATTCTTGACTCCGTCACTGTGTTGATGATTTGAAGAAGTGAAGAATCATACTGGATAGAAAAGCAGCTAGAAATGGAGTTAATCCAGAAGAACATAATTAGCATTAAAAAAAAAAAAATGAAGGTGGTTTTTTTTTTTTTTATAGTATCTCCGCATGGTGTAAAAGTATTCAAACATTATCAAAAGCAAGACAAAAAAAAAAAGTATTTACCCCTACAAAATGACATGTGTCATTTAAGATCCATCTATAACTTATATTAAATTACTCCTACTAATTTATTAATAAAAGTTAGAAAGCTACACCGTTTTAAAATGAAAAAGCTTTAAAATACGTTAATATAAAAATGCATTTAGTTGTTACCAAACAAAAAGATTTAATATTTCTAAATAATGAAGAAAGTCTATTTTCTATTAATATCACAGCAAAATATGCTCAAAATTTAAATTTTACAAAATTCATCTAATCAGACCTTGTAAACTATTAAATTAAAAACCTGTTATTCAAGTTTCTTTAATCAAATCACCTTCTTCAGACATTGTATATTATTAAATTGAAAACATATTATTCAAGTTTCTTTAATTAAATCACCTTCTTCATTCAAGCAAGTACTATTATTCCAAAAAAGTAGTGAGGGAGCAATTTTTTTTGGGTAAAGTTTTTTATATTAAAACAGTGATTTTTAAATTTTATTAAATTGGCTGATGTGGTTAATGACAGGTGTTATTATATAGAAAAATTTATGATAGTTTATTTATATGGTGCTTAAGATATAATTATTAGTTCATTTAAGGACAAAATAGTTATTTTAATAAGAGAAGAGTTTTAATAATTGTTTTTTCAAACAAACATAAAAAATTCTTCTAAAATATAAGTTCCAAACAAAGCCAAATAGAAGTGATACATTTTGCTGTAAAAAGTAAAAACTATGCCGAAGGAGCCGAAGATGGAGAGGCTCTCGAAGACACACGGTACACAAATAAGTGTGAAGATGGAGAGGCTCTCGAAGACACAAGGTACACAAATAAGTGTGTTTTCTTACCTAATTTCAAACTAAAATAGAAAACACACCCACACCAACCTTAATTTGTGAATTGTGGTGTACCATTGCAAAATTGATGATCCAATTTGACATTTGGCCAAATAAAAAATTAAAAATTAAAAATTAAAAATTAGGTGGAAAGGTAGGTTAAATCAATTGGTCCTTGAGCTTTCACCTAATAATTTCTTGTACATGAAGACGAAAGATAAAAAGAGGCATGAAATGAAATTGATCCTCCATAGATAGCAACAAAGAAAAAATTAATAAAAATTCCCAATGGAATAGAATGAGTGACTACATTGAATCCTAATGCAGTAGCAAAATAACAACAGTATTAATTCATTAAAGAATGAAGAAAATTAACTTGAAAGAAGAACACAAAACCCCATATATTTTGTACCCACAAACCCAGCAGATGGATGATAGAACAAGATTTGAAAGAGAAAAAGATTTGATGATAGTAACCCTAGAACGGAGGAGGCACACCCACACCCACACCCATGAAGGGTCTTCCACATGATGAAGAGGCATCGCAGTTATGAATTGTGTCCTTCAACTTGTGAAACCCATCTTTGAATACCCCAAATCCAAACAGAAAACCAATCACAATCACCACCAGTATTAGGCATGTGCACAACATGCAAATCTTGCTCCCACAACACATCTTTAATTCTCTCTCTCTCTACAATATATATATATATGAATGGACTCTGTTTGCGAAATTTTCAGATCTAAAACTTTATTGTTTGGTGACTATATATACATATATATTGAGGAGAGGAGATTATGGTTTGATTGTGGCATAGAAGAAGACGAGTCTATGCGGGGCTGGAATTCTATCCATCTCTTATAAGTGAAGTTTGTGGAAGAGGCGGTAACTCTACGCTTTCTTAAAACACTTTGCTCTGCAACGGACGGTAATTACGGAGTGGGGGTATAATTCGCTCTGATTGTGATTGTGATTGTGATTGTGATCGTGATCGTGAGATATGGTAATTAATTAGTACTCCGTAATTCTAAATCATGTTGACGTGTCTCTGTTATGATGGGTCCCACTTATCATCAATCCATTGGTCGCTGCGTTAATGGAAGGAATTGCTGTTTGGGAGAATCACATCATACGCTCCTAGGATGCCAACAATTATTATTATTATTATTTTTATTTTTCATGGTAAAGACAACCACAACACAAGCAACCGAAAAATCAAGGCCAACTAAGACCCAACATCCACCTCCACGGAAGGAGGAAGAGAAGATAACACCTGATCCGACTCAAGCCTTGATAGTGAAAGAGCGGCCAAAGCATGAGCCACTCGATTACCCTGGCGACGCACATAAGTCAACTTAGCAGATGAAAACCGTCACAAGTCCCGATTAATGTCAAAACAGACAGAAATAATTTATAATGGACAAGACACTCCACATGACACCCCATCCACAACAACTTTGGCGTCCGATTCAAACCATAATACTAAATTTTTTCATATCACTGCTAAATGGCGGCAACGCCGCAATACCATTTCGGGAGTTTTTGATGCTGGGAATCAATGGGTGGTTGAGGAGACGGTAGTTCAGTCGGTCTTTCTGAGTTATTTTCAGGGATTGTTTCAGTCTTCCCGTCCTTCAACTATTGAGCAATTTTTGCAGTATGTGCCTGTCCGGATTTCTGCTGCGATGAACGTTGATCTGTTGTTACCTCCGATAGAATTGGAGGTGAAGCAGGCTGTTTTTTCCATGCAACTGATGAAGGCTCCTAGGTCGGATGACACCGCTGTTCTATCAGAAGTATTGGGAGATCATTAAAAAGGATATTGTTGGGGCTGTCTCTAGTTTTTTTGCTACGGGGAACTTGCTCTCCAGTTTTAATCACACTAATATTGTTTTAATTCCTAAGATTTCTTCTCCGACGCAGGTTAGTCATTACAGACCCATTTCTTTATGTAATGTGTCTTATCGCATTATTGCAAAAATAATGACTAACCGCTTGAAAGGGATCATTGGCTCCTTTATCAGTGATTCTCAAAGTGTATTTGTGGCGAGTCTTCATATTACTGATAATATTTTAGTTACTCATGAAATTTTACATTATTTAAAAAATAAGCATAAGGGCAGGAAGGCATGGTTGGCTTTGAAACTTGATATGAGTAAAGCTTATGACCGGCTTAAGTGGGATTTCTTACTTATTATGCTGGCCCGATTGGGCTTGAATGCCCATTGGATTCAAATGATCACAGCCTGCATTTCCACGGTTTCTTACTCTTTGAAAATTAATGGGCGTTCTATGGGTTTTTTCCAACCGTCCAGGGGTTTGCGTCAAGGCGATCCTATATCCCCATATTTGTTTTTTATTTGTGCTGAAGCTCTTTCGCTGGCTA